GCTTACTCGTTCTATACAAGGCGTTAATGAATAGATGTAATATAGCACGCTGTTGCTGAAGTGAAACTGAAGTTTTAAGTGTCATCTTCTGGTCTCCATTTAATTCATACTGAAGTGCACAACTCTTGATTTTAATGGATAATCCCGTTATAAGCTTGCACAGTGTAGGTTTCCCAAATTCAATATACCTATCAGCACTTTTGTTGCAGTAAGAGATGGAAAAGTGCATAAATTATGAATTTTCAGATCTTACCACGACCCTAAAAATATATTTTTTAATTTATTCCATTTCATATAAAAAGATGCTTTTCGACATTTTATTAAGATATTAAGTATTTCATGTAACATACTCCGAACTTTTCAAAATTCAGCCGTATAATTTTGTTTTTTTTAATTGCATTTTAATATAATTAACACAAAAAAGTTATGGAGAAAAAAAGTCCCGATGTAGTCCGTTGCTTTGAAGTTACTTTACGATATAGAAATTTTTCTATGAAAATACCGGTATCTATATCACAATAATGATACAAAGTAACATACACTGTTAGAAAATCGGTGTGAGTGAAAGCAATAACTCTTTTTATATATGAAATTTTCTACAGTTTATCCCAACTTTACTGTAAAAAGTGCTCTTGCACCATAGGTCGATAGTTTACACCATATTTAAAATTATGTTACATGTCATAAAAATATTTGTTCTAAATTAACCCATTTGAATTTTGTGAGAATATTTATTTGGAGATAACAATAGAGTAATTTCAGAATTAAAAAAACTAAGTAGATACTCACAAAAATAAAGTTATGGTAAACGAGTCAAACAAGAATATAACACAATATTAACAACTAAATAGTTTCTCATTTTTAAATTATGTATAGAGTTAGTCACTATAATCTGACAGCTTATTGCGAGTTTATTATTGAAATTACAAAAAAGTTTTTAATACAAAAGTTTTTGATTTTTTTATGAATTTTTATAATACAGTATTAGAAATAATAATTGAATAATGGAAATCACTAATTAAAGAACAACATTTTTTTAATGGAACACTACATATTAGTGCATACTTAGCTTCGTTAAATTTTTCTCTTTTCAAACATATATAATATGTTACTGTTTGATTCAGGACTTTTCGAAATATTTCAGTTTAAAATTATTTTTGAAAAAACAGGAGGGAAATAATTTATGTCTGACGGATCGCAATGGCTATGGACGAGGCACGCGGAACAAATAATCACTGACAGAAGTTTATTTATCATCATTAATTTATTTCCTATAACAAACTATTTTAACAAAGAAATAATGTTTAGTGAGAACGAAAAATTTGAAGTCAGTCTAACCTAAAATTTGATGAACATATATTAAATTTGATATTAATACAAAAAATATACGCAGACAAAAATTGTGTCATAACCACCTTAATTATAACACAATTGAGGGAAACAATAATTTTTGTTTATCTATATTAACGACTGTACCTAATATTAAAAAAATTCTTATGTCCTACAATGGATTGGCTATATTTGCGCTATTATACAATACGGTTTCGTCTCATTAAATCATTAGTCTAGCGAAAATAACAATTATGTATCTATATATATATATTAGAGAATATATAAATAAATTTACAATGATTTTACGTTCAGGCTAATTTTAGAGAACATAGTGAATAATGAACTGCTAAATCACGCATGTACCTTTTCATTTTATACAGAACAATTAACCAAGACTGAATACTTATATTAAATATCTATATCATAAAAAATAAAAAATAAAAAATTATGCCTAATATGTTGTATGCAAAATTGTTTAGAACTAACTTGTGTCTATAAAGTTTCCTTCTTAAATAAACTTAGGGAATAAGCCCTGTGGTATTTTAGATTACCCTGTATGTTGATCTTTAATGCCTATTGAAAAAGTATTAAACGATTTTGCAAGTCTTTTGATTCTCTTAATATACGATCTAGTAAAATTTATAGCTTGCCATTGCCCTAATGAAATTAATATCTTAATTTTTATAGAGTGTCTCTAATAAATGTGATGCTAAAATAAATGATGTAAGAATAATAAACAAGATAGTAGTACATTTTTTAATTTTGCTTTAGCTACTGTAGATGAGATTCGTATCATTCTCAATAGTATTACCTAAAACCAATCTATTTGGTGTTATTATATCTCTCATTATGTTAAAATTAAGTAGCGCTTTATAGGTCCGCATGTTACTCATATAATTAATTGCTGAATTGAACACTTACCTTGTATGTCAATAAAGGCAACTGTCTAAAGAGCAATCCAGAATATTATTGGCACTACAAAATTTTTGAAATAACTTTAGATAATCAAATTTATCAGTAATTTGTAACTACATCAAGTGTATAGTACTTCAACTGCCACATCATAACCACTGTGGACAATATTTTTGTAAATACGCATTTTAGTTTCTTCCTTATGTTCTTTTCCCATAAAACTGAACTGAGTGCTCCAGTAGTTTTTGCCTCTATTTATTTTTTCTTGGATCTGGTCCTTATTCGTCCCTTTTTTGTTGGGAAGCACTCCTAATTATTTACATTTTTCGACGCCTTTTGTTAATCAGGTTATTCTTTTATCCAAAGGTAAGTTGTTACCTGAAGTCTCATGCTTTTACACTTACGTGTCTACACTTTTAGGGCTTGGTCCAAATAGATTTTAAATAAGGTAAGGGATAAACAACATCCCTGTCTTAGTCCATTCATTGTGTTAAAAAACTTAATTACCGATATTTTAATTCTAATTCTCTGCGAAAGTTATGTTTATAATATAGTTGAATGGCCCAAATTAAAGCCGGTGTAATAATATCCAGTTCTGCATCTCCACAACTCTGATATTGGGACGCTGTCATATGCTTTTTCAGATCTACGAGAGCTATAATATATGTAATATTAATAGTAAGTAATAAATTGAACAATGCAGGTAAATTCATGGTAGTGTATAAAATAAACAAATAATTATTATAATGTTTCCGTAATAAAGGAGATAATTCCTTGGATGACTTTAAGGGAAAAAAGTGCATATGAACATATATTCTGAACGGTGCACTTATCTAAATAAAGGTTATCGAAATTTTTTAATACTATTTACTCAAATAATACAGTTATTTTACTTTTCAGTTAGACTTATGTAACTAAGAAAAGGTAAAAATTGTAACCTGAGGGTTTATTTATTAATTTATCTATCTACCGTTATGACCAGTATCATAACGATATTAACTTGCAAAAGAGCTTACTATTAAATTCTCGAAAGGGAGTTTATAATTAATTATCATCTACACATTAATTGTTGTGTGGATACTTAGAAATGTTGTACGTTCAGAGAATGACCTTCAGACACTTACCGTGCATCGCTCACGTAGAGTATAATCTAAAGTCACTCAATTATACAGGACGATTCAGAACTTATCAAAAAAAAAAATTCGAACGTTCAGAGGACTCTTACAAATACAATTTTGTAAAGAAAATATCAAAAAGGGCAGTTCGAAAATACACTTCTGTACGGCACTGGAAACTAACTAGTCCACTGTCAGTTATTGTTATTATTAATTAATAAAATTAATTTGTGGTTTTAAATAATAAAATAATTTGACATACCTGATGTTACACGACTGTTCAAAATTTTATTCACCGACGTGTAACTACAAATTTTGTCTTGCTTCACTATGACACAAATGCTTCACCATAATGCAAATGTTGTCTTGCTTCACCATAAATTAAAACGATATCCATCAACTCCGAGTTGCTATACACGCAAGCCATTTTTGACATTAACTACTAAAAAACTATTGTAAACACCACCACAGTAAACACTACCGCAACTACGACGATTGCAAAATCGAATTTCAGTATTCGGAGTCGCTGAGGCCACGTGACTGTTCACGCATATTGCGAATGACGCTAGAGACTACAGTTTTCCAGCTATGTTAATGGTTGAATGTACTACAATTTCAATAATTTTTTTCTCGGAAACTATAAGGATTTTACAATTTTTTTTTATAATATTGACTCCAATTCTCACACTGCATCTATTCCCAAATTTTTATAGATAAGTTGTGAATCACCCTGTATATCTAGTGACTTTAGTATCATCCAGATGCTGGTTGTACAGGGTGTTCCACTCTCACTCGATGGACACTTACTTTTGAAGAGCAAGAAAACACCAAAACTTCAAATAACAATAAAAACAAAACAAACAAACAAAACAACGAAGACACATTATTAATTAATTTACACGCGATAACGCAATCCGAAATTTAGGGAACCCAATTTGAATTCATGGCAAAATTTGGAAAGACTTTAACCATTATGAAATTAACCCGAGACTCTAAAAAGAAGAAAACTGTCATCATTGCTAAATTTCATGAGGCCTTCTCCGAAGAACTGCGATGGTCGAGCTTTGTAAATTTATTATTCCCGGTGATAAGAGGCACCAGTTTCTCAACGACTTTATGGCGACGCTAAACCTACTTGAAAACCCTTAACTTTCCAATGATTATATTGTTGACTGAGTTGACCCATCCGTTCCGAGTACGATCTTTCACGAGTCCCGGCATTTGTTACAAAATTCTCTAAATTTATGTTGTTTTCATAATTGGTAAGACTTTAGCACCTAATTAAAGAGATTATTTTTCTAAATGTAACTATAATCAAAATATTATTTACGGTTTAAAGCTAAAAAACTTGATTGCCATTACAACCTCAAAATTCCGAAATACTCGTATAAATAAGTTTTCTATATCTAATTTGAATAGATTGTTTACAAAATAGGAATTTATAAGAATCTATAATATATGTAGATTCCTATAAAACATCCTATAGTAACTAATAATATTTGTTATTTAAACAGCCAAAATGATGAGTGAAAAATATTTGTCCTAATACTTTTCATGTTTCATTTAGACAAAGATGATTGATGTACTTAAATAATTTAGATAAAAAATTAATACTAGTTTAAAGAAGTGTTTTCTTTTCAGGTGCATTTTTAATACCATTCATAATCATGTTAGTTTTGGAAGGCATTCCTCTGTTTCTGATAGAACTGGGAATTGGGCAGAAACTCAGACTGGGATCGTTGGGAGTGTGGAACACTATCCATCCCTGGTTAGGCGGGATTGGAATTTCTTCCTGTATAGTTACGTTTTTTGTAGCACTATATTACAACGTTATTATTACATGGTGTTTTTACTATTTATTCAGTAGTTTTACGGTAAGTATAAATAAATGTCAAATTCCTTTTTAAAAATTACACAGTCCCACAAAAAAAAATACCAGAGACATGAGTATACAGGCTGTTACAAATTCGCTTCTTACTATAGGGATCTCGAAAACGATAAGAGATACAAACTAGCTTAAATGGGGTCAAAGTTGCGTAATCAGGTTACCAACATTATGCCTCTAAAAAATCAAGGCTAACATGATTAGTTTTCTAAATATTTGAAAAAAAACTGAAATTTTGGAAATCCATTTTTGTTTCATTTCAGCCTTGTTTGAGGTGATATTGGAAAACAAAGAACACTTTCCCATGGCCACTTTTTACCCTCTATCCAATGGCATAAACAATTTTTATATGTAACGTTTCTTCTCCAAGACCATCATCAACTTAATTTTTTTAAATACAACCCTGGAAATGTTATTACATTTTTTTGCAAGTATTCACGACCCCCAATACTGTACTGCTTCAGCTTAAACCAGATTCAGACGTTTTGTCTCGAAAAATTCATCTTCAGTGTATTCGTTTCAAATTTATCTAAATTTATTATTTAGATTTCTTTGTTTATTGAATTATCGTACACTGTAAGTGTCGTTAGACCATGTGAACTTCATCTAGTTATTTAAACTATTACCACCACGCATTAAAATAAAAAATTATTAGAGTTTTATTCCCGTGCCTATAGTTATTTCTAAGCTTCTCGAGTGCTCAAAATTCAAACAAATGCCGATCTATTTTTTTTTTTTTCAGGATATTCATACAAATACATCTGATATGCTCTTTCACAGTTGCGGTTACAGATATAATAAATTCCGATAATATTACGCTGATCTTCATTTTCAACCTTTGTCAAAACAAAAATGTTTTAGAGCATATACTGAAATTTTTTAAAGAATAAAATTCAGTTAGCATTTTAGTTGTTCATGTGCATTTTTAAAAATTAATTTGTCATAATAAAATTAAAATTGTAATAATGTTTTAACTTTGACGCAACAACTTATTGAGTTATGTATGAAGTGAATAGTTAATAATAATAAATGTTTTATTGTAACGCGTGGTGGTAATATTTAAATAACTAGATGGATTTCTAATGACATGAGTGTACGATAATTCAATAAACAAAGAAATCTAAATAAAAAATTTAGATAAATTTGGAACGAATACATTGAAGACGAATTTTTCGAGACAGAACGTCTGAATCTGGTTCGGGCTGAGGCAGTACAGTATTGGGGATCATAAAGGCTTGCAGAAAATGTAATAATATTTCTAGGGTCGTATTTAAAAAAAAATTGATGATGGTCCTGTAGAGACGAAACGTTAAATATAAAAATTGATTATGCCATTCGATAGAAGGCAAAAAGTGGCCATGAGAAAGTGCTCTTCTTTATTCAATATCATCTCAAACAAGGCTGAAATGAAACAAAAACAGATTTCCCAAATTTCGGTTTTTTCAAATATTTCGAGAACTAATCATGTTAGCCTTGATTTGTTAGAGGCATAATGTTGGTCCCCTGGTTACGCCCCCATTTAAACTACTTCGTAGCTCTTACCGTTTCGGATATCCCTGTAGTGAGAAGCGAATTTGAACAGCCTGTATAGATCTTGTGTACCGATTTACCAGGGCATTTTTTATCTAAACTTTAAAATATCCCCTAAAATAGGGTGAAAAGCAGCAATTTGCATATACTTTGAGAAAACATTTTAAAATAATATTTTGAGCATTGAAAAGAAATATATGCAAATTAAATCCACACCCACGAGGGGGTTAAATATCCCAAAAGTCAAGTCCTAAGCTTACAAGAGGCGATAGGCATATGACTAACCAAAATGACTAACGTCTTACTACGACTGTTTTCTGGCAATTTCTCAAATTAACCAAAATAGAACTTCATTAAGTAAATATTTCAGGTCTCACAGTTCCAAAATTAGGTATTTTAGGTTCTGTTTGATATTAAAGAATGTTGCTATCATAACGAATAAAAAAATGTGTACTATTCCGATTTTTTCATAAAAAAATTGTTCCTCGACTTTAAAATTCTTTAAACGAGTATCGCTTTACTTTGATAGTTAACTGATTTAATGAATTTTTTAACATCAAATTAATCAAAATACTGTAAATAGAAAAAATACGTAGCAAGAATAATAATACAAAACGTTTTCATTGAAATTTAATATTTAAAAATGAGAATCTTTAGTAGAATAACAGCTCTAACTTTTTTCGTAAGTGTACGAATGGCAAGCATTATACCATTTTACAATATGTACTAAATGCACAGTTTTAGGATAGTTAGATAGGTTAGTTCGATCTAATACATTTCTTTGACAACACTAACGGTCAAGGTGGGGGATAATCGTTTCAAAAACCTTAAAACCGGAGAAAAATTGTGAGAAGATCGTAACAGTAACGGAATCTTTTTATTAGTTGTGATAGCAAGGTTCCTCCGATCAAAACAGAATCACAAAATACTTAATTTTGTAGTTGCGGTTGCGGTACCTGAAATATTCACTTAAGATAATGGTGTTAATGAATTTAAAAAACTGCCTATATGTCTCGAAAACTAAAAGACCTTTACTGATATCGAATTTTGTGATTCAAAAGTCGGCTTGTCAGCTTGGCGTACATCTTTAGGCCACCCTCTAAAAGATTAATGAGAAATTAATAAATATCAATATAATCAGACGAAAAGTATTTTTTTCAGAATTATCTGGTACAAAATTTCCATATTATTAACAGAGAATTTTATTTATTAGATTGGCGAACTTCCATGGAGTAGATGTCCCAATGGGACCGACGCATTGGCGATGGAGTGTGAAAAATCTTCAGCAACCAAGTTCTTTTGGTATCGTATGACATTAGACGCGTCTCCTAATATCGAAACTCCTGGGTTGCCAAAATGGTGGATAGTGTTGTGTCTTCTACTTTCTTGGATTGTCGTATTCTTCATCGTTATGAAGGGGATCCAGAGCTCAGGAAAGGTAAAGACTAATGATTCAAATTTTTAAAATTGTGTAACAGTGTCTATTTATCAGTGACACCTCCTATCCAACGAAACAATAATTTTGTGTTTGAGTTTCTAAATACTATTACATATTTAAATTAAAAAATCAGAACTTGGATAATCTACACAAATTGGCTACTTTGCATTGCAATTTGCGCATATTCTGGCACTGAACAACGCATGCCAAGTCCTTAAATTAACACTAACCTACCAATTTAAGTCCAAACATTGTAGATCATTTACAAAGATAAAATCAGAAAAAAAATAAAGCGAAACACAGTAAATTACAACTTACCATATACAGGCACATAAAAACATATGTTTTCCACATAATTCGCAGAGCATTTTTAGAACCATCATACCATTCTTTTCAATGCACACACGACACATGCATTCCCAACTTTCCAGAACTCGCTAGAAAGAGTCTGGATTTACGATTTCTTATTCTGCATTAAAAATCAGTGATAGAATATTATCTTCATTTTCAATTTCAGTGGCGTAAACTAAACTTGTCACTGCAAAAATTGAAATCAACAGGAGTTTAATCAGATGATCGAGCCGGCCAAGTGTAAGGCACATTTCTTTCTATACAGCAGTTTTGAAATAGATTTAAATGCTGAGCAATCTGACTAACTTTGTGGGTTGAAGCACTATCGTTTAAATACTATACATATATTGGCCCCACATTTAAAGGTATTTCCTAATTTTTGGTGGAAATGCCTACTCCAAAAAATAATAGTAATCGACACCTGTATTTTCTCTTTGCGGCACTAGAACAATTAAATTATCACCAAGTATGCCAACTAATCATTAACCTAAAACTAGTCTTCAAAATGTGTCTGCCGTACAGTGAGTTTTTTCTGCATATTAGTATTTTTTTTCCGGAAAAATGTGGGTTGCTGTTGATTTTATTTAAAAAAACACATACAAAAATTCAAGCTCACTGTCTTAGTAGATATGTATTTGAGCCCCCTGAAAATAGTACTCCTGCAAGGTTTTGTATAAGCGAGACTCTTTGAGTTGCCTGGCTACACTTCGGGTGGCCTGATTTCTTTCAGGGTCATATAATTTTTAACAAAAATGTATCTTGCATCACCACTAATTTAAGTACATACATACATTATTTCAATGTCTACTATTCATAATTTATTTTTTTTAACTTTTTTAATTCCCTATTTGCCAATAACTGACCAATGATTATTGTTATATTTAGAAAAGGAAAACGCTCCCTAGTTTTTCACACATTCTATCTAAAAGTAATTAACAGAATTGTTGTTCCTTTAGGACCCTCCAAACTACCGAATGTGACATATTATTTTGTACTGCCACTCTTCTTGTACTAATTTGTAAGGTTAGAATTAATAATATGTAAAACATTTTCCTCATTGCGAACTATCAGTCCTATTATTTTTTAAAATGTCCTGTTTACGTAAACGCTTTTCAGTACAAAAAAAATTTTGTAGATTTCTGTTACAGTACAACATAACGTTACTACGATATTCACCTAAAATCAATAGCATTTCTACATATTCAAAATACGTGTATTTTTTATATTTTTTCGATGTTTATTTTCTGTGATAAATTATACGAACAACACACTATTCAAACTCAGATAACACTACTTACAAGCTTAGCAATACTAACATTTCTGTTAACTGTCACAGATTTTCTACTTTTCTCATGGCACATTTTGAAAATTTTATTTTGTTATCTAATAGAAGTTGTATTTTATCAATGTTAAAGTTTTTATATTTTTGTATCAGGAACTAGATAAATCCACATATAACAAAAATCAAGATTAAGTTTGTCCCCCAGCAGACTTGAAGTAAGCAAAAATATAATCTTCGTACATCTACTTGAAACATAATTGCGTGGATATAGATATCAAATTTCGTAAAATTGAATTAAAATTTTCATTACAGGTAGTCTACTTTACATCAATGTTTCCATATATAGTACTGACTATATTCTTCATTCAAGGATTAACTTTAAAGGGTGCTGGTGCTGGTATTACTCATATGTTAACACCTAAGGTAAGTTATACAAACATGTCTCAACCATAGACGTAAATGTTTAAAAAAAAATCCTACCAAAATGTTAATGTTCATACTTCAGTAACCTTCTATGAAAATATATCTCAAGTTCATTTATTTAAGTAAAATTCAAATAATTATTGTCCGCATTAACCTGTTTTATATATGAATTGGATAAATACCTCTTACAAAGGTAGAACTTTTAATCTCCAAGAAATGCTGATTTGGCCTCAATGTAGTAGTGCAACTATGGGAAAGTTTGAATTATAAAATAAACAAAAACGAACTAATATCAATTTATATGGCCTAAGGGAAAAAATATTGAACAAGTTAGTACTACAGAGCCTTCACAAATATTTGCAAGCCACGTGAATGCTGAGCTTAGGCAACCCAACATTGCACGATGGTAACGAAAATTCCGAGGAAAATTCCGGGGGCGTTACCAATATTAGTGATTCGTTTACAATGAATAATGACAAACTGTTACGTCTACTCTCGAGATAATGCAATCGCTAATTGAGTAGAATCCCGTGAAAAATTACACCAATCACAGCCGGTGACATAAAATTGTTTTAATGCAATCCCGATCCTAATGTTTTAATAAGCAGTTTCTTGGAATGTACATCCTTTGTCTAGAATAGAATGAGGACTTCTTATAATATTTTTTCTTAATAAATAATGTAAAGGTTTGTCTAGCACATTTAAAAGTGCATTGATTGAATGATAATCTTGTCTATATCTATTGTGTAATGTCACGAAATAAACGAAGATATTATGCAAAGTGTCAAAAAATATGTAACATGTACTAAACTTATTGTCATAATTGGAAAAATTGAGAGAATTTTAAAAAAGTATAAAGAAAAATTGACAGCGTATGTAAAAAAATAGAAGACAAAGGACCCCGTACTTTTATTATAAGTGTGTTTCGGCCACTTTTTTTGAAACTTCTTAGGTTGATAGTTCTTAATATGTAGATCAAAAGTCTCAATGGGCACAAAGCCCCAAATCCACCCCTTTCCCCCCAAAAACTGCCTCCAAGTAGCGGGGGCGATTTAACTGATTTCTGCATGTAAAACAATTTATTTTTTTAATCAACCCAACAATGACCCCAAACAACCACATTTTTGATTAACAAACTGCCCCACTTGACCCCGCCCCTCACACACCCCCCGCCCCCTACGAATCAGCCTACGGATTTTCCAGATTACTGTATTTTATAGTTGCACGTATTTTTTGCACGTATATTTGCACGTATATTTTTTGCACGTATTTTTTCACACTGAATTCGAATCTGCAACTCAATTTTACGAAATCGGGTCAGGAAAATTGTTATTAACAATTTAATTGTTTATATAGCTGTAGAAAGTTTATTTGTGATTTTATGAAAAAATATTTCAGGTAAAAGTTATTTATTTTGACTAAATCTAAAAAAAAGTTTGTATGTGATTTTTTCGAAAAAGTACTATTCAAGCTGTAAAACGCTGTTAAACTTAACACACGTGTATATCTACAACTATCATACGTATACTCTGTGTTAAACTTTGGCATTTTAAAGCTAAAACATTGATTTTTCGAAAAACACACAAAAATATTTTTTTTTAGATTTCATTGAAATAAATAACTTTTATTTGAAACTTTTTTTCATAAAACGACAAGTAAACTCCCCGCTACTCGGAGGCAGTTTTTGGGGGGGGAGGGGTGGATTTGGGGCTTTGTGCCCATTGAGACTTTTGATCTACATGTTAAGAACTATGAACCTGCGAAGTTTCAAAAAAATTGGTCGAAACCCACTTTCCATAAGAAAAGTGCGGGGTCCTTTGCCTTTTAAACACCTGTATAAATATTAAGGGTACAGCAGTTACAGGATGTTGAAATTAAAAAATAAAAACTAAACTATTTTTGGTCATACTTCAGAAATTAATAAATATATTTTTTTATTATTAGGTAATTTAAAGTTTGGTAAACTATCCTTTTTGACAAAATAGTACGATTAGAAATAATTAACAAATATAACAGCACAAAAAACATAAATGTCTAGCAACACAACAATCAAACAAACGCACAAGTAACAAAATAGTTCTGTGGGACATTCGCTAAAATTATTATCAAACATTGTTGCGGCTCGCCTCAATTCATTTTGGATTGGACTACAAGTCAACAAACATTGATCTGGTTTTCATAGCTAATAATCATAAAATCAAAAGGATTATTTATATTTATCGTTGACTGTATAGATAAATATTTTTTTCAGGTGGAGAAGTTATTACAACCAAAAGTTTGGTTAGATGCTGCCACTCAGGTGTTCTATTCCTTCGGTCTGGCTTTTGGATCTTTAATTGCTTTCGGGTCATACAATAACCCAAAAAATAATTGCGTGAGAGACGTCATTTTGGTGTCAGTGTGTAACGCACTGACTGCTATATACGCCAGCGTTGTGATCTTCATTATTTTAGGCTTCAAGGCTATGACCAACGTAGACAATTGTATCAAAGAGTAAGTACTTCCTAAACATATATATTTGAAATTTTTGCAAAAGAAAGAAACATAATTCACGTGGTGACATTTTTTGCGAATTGAGAATATCTAAATTTTTTAACAGTCTTTAACATATCATGTTTAAACAATACAACAAACACATGTTCATCGTCAGTGCCGCGAAAAACAACTACTCCGAGGGCTATTTGCCCCTACCGGCATTGAATTACATTCGCGACACCCAGTACACATGTTCTCCTGAATATCATTTAAAAAATAATAAAACAGTACATTCTTATCTTTATTAAAAATCGGAAGTGTATTAAAATGCCGAATTATAGAATAAAAAAATTAATATGTACTACATAAGCTACTGACAAATCAACGTTGTACAAAGCTAAATAATGCAGGTTTCACAATGAGTCTGAGAATGATGAAATAATCACATTTATATTCGTCACGACATTGTAAATTTTACGCGTATCAATTAGACGCATGTATGTTGTAGTTTTGTGTATTATTTGTGCACAACTAGTGAACATGATATTAATTTATGGGCAGTAAGGTCAAACTGACGCTTTGGCATCGCACTTGTACGCAGAATGATTTCCTAATCAGGTTAATGCTCCTCCTCGAAAATTTGTAGTGTAGAGCCAAAAATCAGTATTATATGAGAACATTGTGGGGGCACGTAGGACGATCGAAGTCTACTGGAAATGTTCAATGAGAAAAATAAAAGCTTGATTTAGTGCAAATAGTACTACTTATCCTTACTAAATTTTGTGCCATATCGACAGACGTCCGCCTGCAACTATTTTTTTTGCATAAACTTCCATACAAAGTTCCAGTCGCACAAGAGCCCTTTTTCAATCGTGAAAATAAAAAAGCTTACACAAAGTTATCCAACAGACGTTCAAGCGTGTTTGCTTAAAAAAAAGTTATTCATGCTTGCTTGTCAAACATACAGCTACGTTGATACTCACCTTTTGGCGCTACTGTTTCTTTCTCCTCAAAGCTAGTATTTCAAAAAACCCTATCTATTTCATACAAGTAATACTCTTCTAATTTACGGTAATTGCTTTTAAACTGCTTGGCTTAACTAATCCAGGTTCCACAGTGACATCTAGTCAAAATAAACTGTTAAATGTCAAGTACTCAAATATTCAATATTGCTTGATTTCTTATTGTCTAACATTAAAGCCCCAAATGATTAATATTATAAATCTTATATTTATTATTTATTTTCAAATCATTTTGTGTCAATAAAAATAACAGTGTTTTACAACAATCCTCAATTCTATTGTTTATTCTTTATCGCAAAGCATACCTATTTAATTTAACACCACAGGAAAAATATATTCTGAGAAAGAAAATGCGAGAAAGGAATTATCAAACAGATAATAGTTTCTTTAATTTACAAGTGTAGTTCTTTGCCACTCAATCGATGGTTATAAATCACAAATTATTTATAAAATAGAGTATAAGTTCATGGATGGATGACGGAGTAGAAGACATTGACCATTAGTTTGCATTGTTGCATCCAGATCTTAAATAAAAGTTTTTGAATCAGTTTTGCCTAATTATTTAATTCTTTTAAGTAAATAAATTTTAGTTTTCAACGACACATACAACAATGTTCATCGCTGAAATGTTAAAGTACCGACCAACAGTTGCATACTCTGTCGAAAAAAATAAATCAAGCCCTTGACAATAGATAATCAGTTAAGAATAAGAAAGAACATTTTGGTGCTAACAGCAAAGAAGAAAGAAAAAATAGCAGTTCTGTATTCATCCTTTAAGTGTTGTAATATGTGGAAGCCATATAAACAATTTTCATCAAAGTTTCAACTTAAAGTCATTGTAGAATTTTGAAAAAATTAATTTTTGGATAAATGTTTTAAACAATGTTTTTTATGTGAACAATATAGGAAAAAAGTTTTGGGTGGGGGAAAAATCGGAAACACGTGTTTTTTTGAGGTGAAGCGCAATCATTCGCAGGATGAAGAAAATATGAATCTAGAAAGCCAATTATTTGATGCAGATCGTTGATTGAAAGTATACATGAATTTCTTATGCTGAATGGCAACAAAAATTTTAACAGCGTTTTTCGAGAAACCGCTTTTTTAACTAGCCGGAAACAACAGTTTTCAACCAATCGAGTTGAAATATTTTGTACAGAACTTCACAATAATAATTCGAGAAACATCGCAGGAATTTTTAGATTCATTAACAATTTTCATTGTTATTAACTATTTAATTCAAAATTTTTCGTCTTTTTTCGATACTTTTATTTAATGTTCAGGAAATCAACAATCAACGAAAAATTTTTGTTTCTTTGTTCGAAGAAGAAACCTTTCCGGGCATACAACCCTCTGAAAGAAAGGTGTCGGTGTTGCTTGCCATCACCTACAGACGCCATTTTGAATCCAAATCGTTTGAAAAAATTCAGTGTATCATAAAGCCTTTTTGTTCCTGACATTATATCTTGTATAGAATTTTCCTTGAAGATTCTCTAAAATCACCTTTTCTTTCGACTCTAAACTCTCTAAAGTGGCGTTACCGCTTGAGGGAAAAATTCTGAAAATTGGAAATCGAAAACTTTCAAGGCTTTATATCACAAAAATGCTTCAGAGTTCCTTAAAATCAAAGCTATTTAACAAACAACACTTGTTGTTTTTTCAACCTTTAGTATGCCTCGAATGTTGAAAATAATTGATGATAATAAATCGGATTTAGCAGTTTTACTCAAAGTGATCACAAGCAAGATAAATGCTTTAACAAGTCTTATTATTTTATTACACAGATTAATATCACCCATTGCAACTACACATAATGTCACATAGTGCTACCGCCAAATGCCACTGGCATTACTGACCTCATTAAATCTGAGATTCATTCCGGATAGAAATATTCAAGAAATGAGAATTAAAAATTTCATAATTATAAATTAAATTTAGATATTTTAAACCCACTGGAATTATAAACATTTTGTGAAACCAAATTATAAAAATAAATAGGTATTTTTAAATTGCAAATATTCTTTTCTATAATACAACTTCATTTTCTCCAGTTGCTGATACGTACTTATACAATTTTTATTTTTTAGCAATAATAACCTGCTAATTACCTACAACGTTTCAAACATTACGGTGCCAGATGGTTCATTGGATTTCATATTCCAGAAAAATTTAAAATATTCAATGGCAAATGATATAGGCCTTAGAAATTGTTCCTTAGAAAAGGAATTGGAGGAGGTAAGTATTTAAAAAATGGAACTTACATATATTAAATTGGAGCAGATATTCTTATTTAACATAGTATACAAAATATGTAATTTCTCCAAAATTTAGAAGAATTACTTATTTCTTGTGGGAAGAATAAAAAAATCTATTTCATAACATTCAATATAACTAATGTGATATTGTAAATACAATGCAAAATACCTAACCTCCTAAAATTACGTTTTAAAATTTCACTGAGAATAATCGCAACTATGGATAACGAAATTTAAAAAATAATGTAAAACATAACACATCATTGAAATTTCTTTTATCTTTTAATTTTTATTTCTTTTTTAACTCCATGAATTTATGAGAATTGATCAAGTACGAATATTCCGGGTGTTCTATTTGAAAAAAACTTCTCTCTCTTGGAGAGTGTAATGCCTTCTTAGTTTATTTAAGATACAAAATGGCAATTAAAACTCTTCAGTTATGCATTCCTTTTTGAAATATGGATGTATGAATAATGTCGCCTTAAAAACTTTCCAAATTTTAAAATATTTTTACTCATGCTTTACCCTACATTTATTGTGCCGAAATACTGAATTTTTTATATAAATTGATTTTGTAGGCCGCAGAAGGTACTGGTTTGGCCTTCATTGTATTTACTCAAGCTATAGTCGAACTTCCAGGAGCACCTTTTTGGGCAATAATATTTTTTATGATGCTTCTCTCATTGGGAATTGGCTCCCAAATAGGGATTTTGGAGGGAATGCTTTGTACGGTGTTTGATATTGAGATTTTTAAAAGGATCGATAAAAAATATATAACAGGTTAGTACTTATTGTCAATCAGGCCGAGTATGTATCCCATTTTATCATAATAACAGTTACGTTATCTCAGGGTTAAACGTTAAGGTTAACATTAACTGTTAAGATATAACATGCACGTTATTGAAGAATCTAACAAGGATCTAACAAGGAAACTACCCCAACCCCAATTCTCCGATTTCCAATATTTTTATATATGTTGTAGACTCGGTTGCAGAACATAAAAAATTAGCTTCTTATACATAAACAAATGTTTCACATTAGATTCCGTGTTTGGAGGTTGCTACCCTTATTTTTTATTTCAGAAAAACTATATTTTTCAAACATTTTTTATATATAAAAAAATTCATATTTGTTAAAAAAAATAAAAAATATGATTTATGTACAACCCTCTAGTGTGCTAAAAATGCCTGTACGATTAGAATTAACATTGCAAAATAAAAAGTTTTTACTTTTTCTCTAATCATATGAATAATTTGTTCTATTAGCCGCAAACAGATTTAAACGGATGCAAACTACCCCTCATGTTCACCCCCAAAAACAGTATTTCTGTGACATCTCAATATTTTGAAATGAAATAAAATGGAAATTACTTCTTTTAAAAAAATAAAATGTTTCACAAGTGATTCCGTGTTGGGGGTTGCAACCCTCATTTTTTATTTCATGAAAACTAAGTATATTTTCAAACATTTTTTGTATATAAAAAATTCATATTGATTCAAAATATTAAAAATATTATTTATGTAAACAAATTTACAAAAATAATTTCTCATTTTAGGGGGCGAACAACCCCCTAGTAATCCCCTAGTGTGCGAAAAATGTCTACTTTTTCTCTAATCATACGAATAATTGTTTCTCTTGGTCTAAAACGGATCTAAACAGATGCAAACTACCCCTGATGTTCACCCCCAAAAACAGTAGACATATCCGTGATATTTCGGGTTCTAATAAATATTTTGGAATGAAACAAAATGGAAATTACCGAACTTGTTTTTGTGGGATGAACATCAGCGGTAGTTTGCATCAGTTTAAATCCGTTTTAGACCAATAGAAAAAAATTGTTTGTGAAATATCTGTTTTTTTTATAAGAAGTAATTTCCATTTCGTTTCATTCCAAAATATTGATTAGAACCCGAGATGTCACAGAAATACTGTTTTTAGGGGTGAACATGAGGGATAGTTTGCATCGGTTTAAATCCGTTTGAGGCTAATAGAACAAATTATTCGTATGACTTGAGAAAAAGTAAAAACTTTTTAGTTTGTAATGTTAATTCTAATCGTATAGACATTTTTCGCTTACTAGGGGGTTGTTCGAGAACTTAATTTGTTTACATAAGTTATATTTTTAATTTTTTTAACAAATATGAATTTTTATATATAAAAAAATGTTTAAAAAATATAGTTTTTTTGAAATAAAAAATAAGGGTAGCAACCCTCAAACACGAAATGACTAATGACATATCTGTTTTTTTTTATAAGAAGTAATTTTGCATGTTGTTTTATTCCAAAATATTGATTAGAACCCCAGATATTTAGAAAAAACTAGTAGCGAACTTTGAGAATGTATTTCACCGACATATTATTTAATAATAATAATTCAGAATTATTATAAATACCCGACTCAATAGACAAAAACACATACAACTAAAAGAGTTCTTTTAGGTTATGAAACATGAAACAAATACAACGTAGAGCGCAAATAACAGGTACCTATGTACAACATAAAATAGCTACCGTTTACGGCACGTTATTTACAAATGTTATTTCTAACATAACGTTTTAGCGTAAATGGGATACATACTTGGCCTGATTAGTTGATAATTACGTACAACATACAATAAAAGAACTTGTTTTTCTAGTTTCTAAATTAGGCATCTAATGGACTTTTCACAATACCTAAAAGGAAAAATAAACATACAAACAGAAGAAACTTTAACTATTTTATTTTTGTTTACTTTTGCTCTGCATTTTCTATTTTTAAAAATTACGGTATAAAAGAAATACAAACAATTCACTTAATACTAAATATTTTAATTATTTTCAGCAACTGTGTGCATTATCTGCTTCTCTGTGGGCATAATTTTCACAACGGGTGCTGGAGAATACTGGCTGACTATGTTCGATTCGTTTGCGGGCACCATTGGCCTCGTCGTGGTGGCTTTCATGGAGATGATAGCCGTAATCTACGTCTACGGTCATGAGAAATTCACGAAGGACATCCAGGATATGACAGGCGTCAAACCAGGAGCGTATTGGCAGATCACTTGGAAATACTTAGCACCGGGTATAATGGTGGTAATTTTGGTATCTTCGATTGTATCTATGATCATACACCATCCGGAATATAAAGGCTGGAATAAAGAAAAGGTTAGTGCAATATTTTTTGTAACATGTTCAAAGTAGCAGGCAACTGTCTCTCTTTATTTCATATAGATGTTCATAGTCCAAAAAACTATGTTTACCAAAGCATATTTTGAAACAAAAGAATTTTTGTGAAGTTAGTACAACAACTGAGACATTACTATTTCTATGTTTGACATCTCCAACTCGAGGTCATATTTCCTGCCAAGAATATTGGCGCAACTTCAGTAATCACTTGATATAGACACACCACCAAATTGCCTGGACCGTTTAAGAAATGCGGTGGTTAGCCACTACCATCTCTGAGAATTTAGATGATAATTTTAGCTAAACGATACAGCCTGTCTAGTTCAAATTATACAATCTGATACTTCTGTCAATACTTTGTAGAAATATGGTGTCAAATTGAATGGCGCGACACAACAAACGGTGTAGTCGGGTTATCATCCCCGAAAACTAATAATGATTTGTAGTTAAACGTCTCGTCCTGTCACGATCAAATTATATAGTCTGATACATCTGTTAAAGCTTTATAGAAACGTGAAACTGGCAAGACACAAGAAACGGGATAGTCGGGTTATCTTCCTTGGAAACTTATATACCTATTATTAGTAGCTAAATAGATCGAGTTATAGAATCTGATACTTCTGTCAACACTTTGTAGATATATAATGTTGAAACGGGTTTACCCTGAACAGTTAAACGCCTTATTAGTCCAAGCATTATAGAGAAATGCTTACAGAAATTATTACCCGGACAAAAAAAATATGACCGTATAGAAAATTAAATTTTAAATTGAGTTTCTTATTCTTTAAACTCGATCCAAAATGGCGAACATGGTTAAAAAAAATCGCAAAGTTGCAAAAAACGGTTTTTCTAAAATAACTAAAAAAATATAGCACGGATTGAAAAATTTTAAATGAGAAAGTTGTAGGTTTTAAAAAGATCTATCGACTGATTTTTTGAAAGTATCGATTGCTTTGTTACTTTTCGAGATATATCGAAAAAACCGTTAAAAATCTTCTCTTTTCTCTTCTTCTATAACTCGTTTACATTTACGTGCCCATATTTGCTATTTACTGCAAGCATAGCCCGCGGCAAGCCAAAAAAGTACATTTTTGAAAAATTTAAAAATATTAATTATTTTTCGAGATATATCGATTTTTTGAAAAAAAGGCGCTCTCGAAAATTGGCTAGATCTTCTCAGCGGATAGCCCTACAGTAACGATTTTCGGTTTATTTTCTTCGTAAAGAGTTATATTATCATGCTGTTAAAAAATGTTGACGATTTTATTAATTTTAAGGATCAAAAAATGACTGAAAAAGTTGCACTTTTTTTGGGTATGTTTTTTTCAAATAACTATTTCAATTTTTATTATTTTTTTGTACTTAATCTGGGGTAGCTAAACACGAATATTATAGCATTTTCGCCTTAGAAGCAAAATAGACCCGTAAATGTTTAGTTTTCTTTCTTTAAAAGTCATTTTCATAAAATAAAAATTGAAATAGTAATTTGAAAAAAACATACCCAAAAAAGTGCAACTTATTCAAAGTCATTTTTTGATCCTTAAAATTAATAAAATCGTCAACATTTTTTAACAGCATGATAATATAACTCTTTACGAAGAAAATAAACCGAAAATCGTTACTGTAGGGCTATCCGCTGAGAAGATCTAGCCAATTTTCGAGAGCGCCTTTTTTTCAAAAAATCGATATATCTCGAAAAATAATTAATATTTTTAAATTTTTCAAAAATGTACTTTTTTGGCTTGCCGCGGGCTATGCTTGCAGTAAATAGCAAATATGGGCACGTAAATGTAAACGAGTTATAGAAGAAGAGAAAAGAGAAGATTTTTAACGGTTTTTTCGATATATCTCGAAAAGTAACAAAGCAATCGATACTTTCAAAAAATCAGTCGATAGATCTTTTTAAAACCTACAACTTTCTCATTTAAAATTTTTCAATCCGTGCTATATTTTTTTAGTTATTTTAGAAAAACCGTTTTTTTCAACTTTGCGATTTTTTTTAACCATGTTCGCCATATTGGATCGAGTTTAAAGAACAAGAAACTCAATTTAAAATTTAATTTTCTATACGGTCATATTTTTTTTGTCCAGGTAATAATTTCTGCAAATTTAACGTTAATCCGTGACAGAATGCTTGGAATATATCAAGTCCCTAGATCGACCAAGTACCGCGATCATGTTCTCGTTTGGCCCAAAATTGCTTAACATTATGTCAATTTGCGCTATTTATATTTAAAAATTATTAAAATTTAATTGTCATTTATTATAGATGCAAACATTGAGGTATTTATTGGCTAAAGAATTGGTGAAAATATGTGAAAAATTTATTATTATAAAAATGTAATGAAAATTCAAACTTATATTTCAAGATTGACGATATAAATTTTGCCCCAAAATGACAGTTGATTGCGGTACTTTATCCATATCTAGAGATTTACCGTTTTCTGTTTCTTTTCCGTATTTTTATTTGTTGATACCGATTTTGAGAAAACACAGAACATATAACGCCATTTTATTTACTATAAAAAAAGTATACTTGTTACATATCCCTAAAATGCATAATTCCTGAAATAAATAGATAAATAACCAATGGATGTAGTGTATTTCAACTTTCTGCAAAATTAAAAAGGGTTATTATTTTGTTAATTTAGACCACCTTACCTGTATTCAAGTTAACATTTGAGAAATTAGTCCTGTGCCTGCGTAGGTAAGGTTTCGCTACTACTTTCAAAGGGCCTATATCTCAATATACCTACACTGACTATTTTACGTATAGACTGTGATGACGTTATTTTATTGCAATTCTTCTTTCTGTTAGCTCCTCTGCCTTAATTTGTAATCTTTATTTTCTTGGAATTTTCAAATCAGTTAAATGATGTTAATTACCTATTAATAAAGAAGGAGCATTATAATATTCCGGGTGTAATGAAATTCAATGATATTCAGTATGATAATTCTCAAGCTATTGCTGAAGGATTTGCTGATTATTTTAGTAGTGTTTATGTGACACCTGATTTTAATTATGAAACATTTAACATGGCGCACAGTTTTAGCAAGAATATTAATATACCAATAATTACTGAGGTGGATTTTTTCAACGCCCTTAAAAAACTTAAAAATAAAATGACATCTGGTACAGATTTTATACCTAGTTTTGTTGTGAATTACTGTGGGCAGGTCTTAGTAGTTCCTTTGCTATTTATATTCAATCTCTCTTTATCTACAGCAACATATCCAGATGTATGGAAAGTAGCACGCATATGTCCGGTATTAAAAAAAGGTGATCCATCTATAATATCTAATTATAGGCCTGTTTCAATTTTATGTAATTTTTCAAAAATTTTTGAAATAATACTTTAATAATAACATATTTACGCTAATACCAATGATATTTTCTCCCAGAGTCAACATGGATTTGTAAATAAACGTTCTTGTGTATCAAACTTGGCATGCATTTCTCATAATATTGATCACAAAGGCAAATTGATGTGTTATAGATGAATTTTAGTAAAGTATTTGACTAGGTTGATAACTACGTGCTACTTGCTAAACTTGATAGTACTGGGTTATCAAATAATTTTGTTAATTTTATTAAATCGTACCTAACAGAGAGACAACAGTTTGTTAAGTGTGAGGGTTTCACTTCGTCAAAATTTAAAGTTACTTCTGACGTTCCACAAGGTTCGAATTTAGGGCCCTTACTGTTTCTCTTGTTTGTTAATGATTTACCGAATAGTATATCTTGTAATAATCTTCTTTTTGCAGATGATTTAAAAATTTAGTATTGAGAATGAGGAAAATTGTAGATATTTACAGAATCAAGCCAACTTAATTGGCAAATGGTCGTTTAATGTTAAATATAAACAAATGTTATGTAGTATCATTTTCCAGGAAAAAACAAATTTATAATTATGATTATACACTTAATGATATTACAATCTCGAGAAGTGATTGCATAAAAGATTTAGGCATTAGGCATCTTCTTTGACTCTAATCTTACCTTTGTTACTCAAATTAATCATTTAGTTAGTAATGCCAATAGGACTTTAGGTTTTATATTAAGGAACTGCAAAGATTTTAGAAATATTAACACTTTAAAAATTTTGTATTATACCTTGGTTAGGAGTAAGCTTGAGTACGGATCAATTATTTGGTTCCCAATTTATCAGTGTCGCATTGATAGTATAGAATCTGTTCAGAGGCGGTTTTTAAAATACATTTCTTTTAAGGAAGATGGCATCTATCCCGCCAGGGGTATTGATAACACAGCCCCACAAAAAAAGAAAAAGTATGAAAAAGTATCGGATCTGGTATTCAAACCCATGTATTTCCATGTATTTTTTCCGCTGAATCCGAATCTGCCTTCAGATTTGTCCCAACGGGTCTGAGATTTCGGGAAAATTCAAAGAACAGGTCAAAATTCACAAAAAACGTCATTTACGATCGACGAAAGTTATAAAAAGTCAAATTATTCTACCAGCTCACTAGACGTATGATTTTTCGCTCATTTAATTCCAATTTATCATCATAGAGTCAGACAAGCTGGTCCAATTTCATTGAAAACAGAAAATAGATCAAAATACTTAAAAACGCCATTTTCATGGCATAATTCGTGTTGCAGAGTTCTGGATCCATCTTTTTATCCACCCACCCATTTATGAATTCATACATCTTTCTATCCAGTCGTTCATGCATGAATACGCATATTTATTCATCCACCTGTACCACCTATAAAACCCACCCATCCACCCATCTATCCATCTACTTTTTGTACTGAGAGATGAGATAACAGCCTAGAAGATTGAGAATGCAATAAAACTTGTAGAATACTCTACTTTCTAAACAAAAGAAAACGATATCTACAAATCATTCTTATTTTTGTTGCTATAACGTGTTCTCTTTTCTTCAAAGGATCTATGCAAAGGGTTACGCTTTCGTTTAGTCCCTCTATTTTTCGTTTCTCTTTTTAACAACCAACAAGTTTTCGCCCTATATATATAAAGGGCGAAAATTTCCGAATATTTCTGAGGCGAAATTGAAAGAAGGTGTATTCGATGGACCTCAGATTCGGACATTGTTCAAGGATGCAACATTCATCACTACAATGAGTAGCGTTGAGAAGAGTGCTTGGACTAGTTTCAAAGTTGTAGCGACAAATTTTTTAGGAAACAACAAGAGTCCTAAATACGAAGAAATTGTATCAAAAATGATAAAAGACTTCCAAGATCTGGGATGTTTGATGAACTACAAGTTGCACTTCCTTCATTCACATCTGGATTGGTTTCCTGAAAATCTTGGAGATTATAGCGAAGAACAAGGCGAACGATTTCATCAGGATATGAAGGTTATAGAACAGCGATATCAAGGAAGATGGGATGAAAACATGATGGCCGATTTTTGTTGGTTGTTAAAAAGAGAAACGAAAAATAGAGGGACTAAACGAAAGCGTAACCCTTTACATAGATCCTTTGAAGAAAAGAGAACACGTTATAGCAACAAAAATGAGAATGATTTGTAGATATCGTTTTCTTTTGTTTAGAAAGTAGAGTAATCTACAAGTTTTATTGCATTCTCAATCTTCTAGGCTGTTATCTCATGTTTCAGCACAAAAAGTAGATGGATAGATGGGTGGATGAGTGAGTTTTATAGGTACTACAAGTGGATGGATAGATATGCGTATTAATGTGTGAACGACTAGATAGAAAGATGTATGAATTCATAAATGGATGGGTGGATAAAAAGATGGATCCAGAACTCTGCAACACGAATTATGCCATGAAAATGGCGTTTTTGATATTATTTTCTGTTTTTCAATGAAATTGGACCAACTTGTCTGACTCTATGATGATAAATTGGAATTAAACGGGTGAAAAATCATACGTCTAGTGAGCTGGTAGAATAATTTGACATTTTATAACTTTTGTCGATCGTAAATGACGTTTTTTGTGAATTTTTACCTGTTTTTTTAATTTTCCCGAAAACTCAGACCCGTTGGGACAAATCTGAAGGCAGATTCGGATTCAGCGGAAAAAAATACATAGAAATACATGGGTCTGAATACCAGATCCGATACTTTTTTGTTTTTTTGTGGGGCTGTGTAATCAAATATTATTGGACAGATTTGATACTATTTCTCTTGATCGGCGACGGATATGGTCAATTATATCATTTTTGTATAGACTACTAGGAGACTACTAGTCTCCTTAGTAAGATACAATTTTTAGTACCGGGTGCTGGTTCAAGATATAACCAAACTTTTTACTGTGATAGGCCTAGAACTAATATTTTACTTAAAGCACCTAATTTATAATGCATGTATCATTTTAATAAAATCTGTAATTACTGTGATATTAATTTTTCATCACTAAATACAATAAAACACGTTGTTTACAACAACGAGCAATTTTAAATATACTTAGTTATTCAATTTTTTTTTTCTACTTTCCTCTTATACACAACAGATTTTGTCAAAATAAACTCAGTGGTTTTGTTATGATAATAAGTGTAACTGTTCTCTACTATTATTTTTCATTTGCTATGTATTTCCTGTAATTGGGTTTACCTGTTGGAAATAAATGACATTATTATTAAATAAACGTTATTTTCAGGGGGACGTAGACGTAATTCCGTATCCGAACTGGGTGCTAGGTATAGCAATATCAATGGTCCTGGCTGGCATCCTGCCTATACCCATTGTATTTCTATTGAGACGATATCAATGCTTAAAAATGGACATCAACATACACGAAGGATCCATCAGAAGAATTGATACAACAGTTTCTACAAAAGAAATGATTACCGATGTTGATGTACGTATATCATATACAACTTTTACACACTTACTATCAATTAATTCTGTTAGATGTCTGCTAGGTTTCGCACACTAAAAACACGTGAAACTATTTTCATTAAAAATGTGTTGTCAAAACTATATAGCTGCAGAGAAGATACTTTTAGGATGATTTACTTTAAACGTATATTATTTTACTATACTGCAGCGGGGGCTTACTAAAAAAGTTTTACAAACTATGGTAACATAAATTTATTTTATGTTTAGAAATGCACGTGGGAAATAAATATGCTGGTTTTTCGATAACTAAAATTTCTTAAATTTACAGTTCATTCTTTAATTTTACTTACTGCATGGATTTAACTCAGTCTTTGGAATATTTAAAGAAATAAAGATTTTGCATTTTCTCTCATTTTCAACTTCCAGGTTAATTCTCAGTTTCATTACGATAACTGTCATCTGTGACAAAATAATTACATATACATACAAAGTATCAAAACTAACACAAAAAAGAAAATCATATGTTAGAACTTACTTAAATTATTCGTTTAAAAATAATAAACATTTTATTGACCAATTAAAATATATTGTAAAGTTCGTCATATACGAAAATTGTTTGGTTCTAGATAAAAGCTATGTAGAAAAATATGTCAATGTTCACGATCCACAAAGATTAAAATACTTGTGTTTTTGATTGGTCAAATAGTTTTTGTTTGAAAAGAAAACTGATACTAAATTCAACATGGTCCTTGTTGTTCTGTTCCTCATCGCATTCGTAATGCCTCTAATTTAGTTCATTGCTCGTCTTCCTCTTCTTTTGTTGCTTCACATATCTGTTAGTAGGGTATTTTAACCGGTTGTGAGTCTCCCCCCTCCACTTTCGCCCTTGAAATGACATATGTGGTGACGTATGAGGTGACCGTGAACGACATTGAAGGTCACATAAGTTGGTAACCTTTATTTGTCCTCTATACAAAGTTAAAAATTATTTGTAGTTGGTAAATGATATTGAAGGTCACATCAGTTGGTGACTTTTATTTGACCTCTGCTGATTGAGTGCTATAGGATTACCTTCAATGTCCTCTGTCACTACCTCTAACTGAAGGGTACATGAATGTTAATGTCATTTCGAGTCAACTGCACATGCGCTATCCATTCTATGTATAAAAAGGATGGAGTAAGTAGAACGGATTTCATTTCAGTTTGAAACTCTGATCGGTGGAGTGACTTTACTGATAAAAAAAATGTATTTGTGCAGTGTATGTGGTAAAAGTTTTTCACGCAGTGATAACTTGCGTCGTCATGAAAGGGAGTCTTGTAATCGCATAAACGTTGGTGAACCTGAGGCGAAACGGATCAAATTATTACATGAGAGTCAACCAATTCAAACAGTAAAGTGTTGTAATAGGGATATACCCAGGAGTCAAATATATGCTCATCGTAGGACATTGGAACATAGAACAACGTCCTGTACTCCTAAATGTGAGGGCATACAAGTAATCAATAGTGCATTCAAGTGCAGGATAATTAGTTATAGAGTGCATAGTGACACCAAACATACAGATTATGTAATGTTTTTTGATGAAGTGAAGGCGAAAATAATAAGTTTGTTGGAAGACATCATAAGGGTTCATAAATCTATAAAAGTGAATATGGAAACTTTTGCTAATTACATATTACAAACTCGCGAGACATCCGATGTAAAGGCATTTAATAGTTGCAATAGGATTATCGACGAGTCGTTGGATATTAGTGACATTTACAAAGACTTTGTAGACACGATGACATCTCAAACGTCAGAATTTGAGGAGAAAGATTCTGGTAAGTGATACTAATAAGAGGTGTAATGAAAGACGTTAACATAATTTGTTATTATTGCAGGTTGGGCTATCGAAGAAATATTATATGTGGAGGTTAACGTAAATAAAAACAGTCCTCTATGTGGATCTTCATATATAAAGTTACCGAAGTTTGTGGAAAACAAGAAAGCTGTGGTAAACATAAAAAATCAAGATGAGTGTTGTTTTGCATGGGCAATAACCTCAGCTTTATATTCACCGAGAGGTCCAGTGCATGAGATGTCATCATATCCACATTTTTCATCTGTTTTAAATTTGGTAGGTATGAACTTTCCAGTTAAATTGAAGGATATTTCAAAATTCGAAACAATGAATGATATCTCTGTTAACGTATACGGTTTGGAAAGTACATTCGAAAAGAATAGATTAAAATACGAAATTGTCGGACCTTTGCGTTATTCACAAAGAAAATTGAGGTATCATGTGAATTTGTTATTTATTACTAAGGAGTGCGGTCAAAATCATCATTGTGGTAAAGAATGTGCGATAAGCCATTATTGTTGGATTAAGGATTTGTCGAGATTGGTTTCTAGTCAGGTGTCTAATAATGAGCATAAAAAGTATTTCTGTGACGGTTGTATATCTTACTTTGGTTCTGAAAATATGCTATTACAACATCAAAGGCGATACTGCAATCAAATTTACACTACTGCACCTACTTTGGAATTACGTGTAGATAAGTTTGGGAAAAGTGTTTCCGAAAACATACTAAAATTTGAAAATTTTGAAAAGCAATTGAAGGTGCCTTTTGTAGTATATGCCGACTTCGAATCTATTTTGAAACCTATAGATATATGCGAACCTAATCCCGAACAATCTTATACGTGCAAAACTTTCAGCCATGAACCATTTTCGTTTGCCTATTTGATAAAGTGTTCCTTCGACGATTCACTCTCAAAATTAGTATTTTATAGGGGGGATAATGTGGCAAAGGTATTCATACAGCGTTTAGAGACAGATTTGAGGGAAATCTATAATAAATATTTAAAAAATATAGTTCCAATGGATACCTTGTCTGAGGACGACGAGAAAAATTTCAATAATGCCGTCATTTGCAGTATATGCGAGAAACCATTCGAAAATGTTCATATTAAAGTCAGAGACCATTGTCATTTGACAGGAAAAAAGAGACCAGGGGCCGCTCATTCCGTTTGTAATCTAAATTATAAAATATCAAATTTTATTCCAGTTATATTGCATAATATGTCGGGGTATGATGCCCACCTTTTCGTGCGCGAACTGTGTTCGAATAAAGACAAAATCGATGTAATAGCCCAAAGTAAGGAGAAGTATATTTCATTTACGAAACACCTTTACATGCACGATTATGTTGGAAATAACGGTAAAATAAAGAAGAGTTTTCTAAAGATGAGGTTTATCGACAGTTTTAAGTTTTTATCCACGTCTTTAGAAAATTTGGCTGCAAATTTAAACGATGATCAATTCGAAGAAACCGTTAAATATTTTCCAGATATCGAACGTTTCAACTTAATTAGGCAAAAAGGTGTATTTCCATACAGTTTCTTGACGGGTCTAGAAAAACTTAATGTTGAAAATTTACCGAGCAAAGAAGAATTTTATGATAAACTAAACGAAACACATATATCGAACGCGGAATACGAGAGAGCACGTCAAACATGGCAACTATTTAGTTGTAGGAATTTGGGTGATTATTCCGATATATATTTAAAATCAGACGTGCTTATATTATGTGATGTATTTGAGAACTTTCGAAAAATTTCCTTGAGTAAATATAAATTAGATCCAGCACAATATTATACGGCTCCTGGACTTGCTTGGGATGCCATGCTGAAATTAACAAAAATCGAGTTGGAACTTTTAACAGACATTACAATGATACAATTTTTCAAAAAAGGTATTCGCGGTGGAATAAGTCAATGTTCCGGGAGGAGACACGTTGCAAATAATACGTTTCTACCAAATTATAATCCAAACGAGGCTTCATCTTTTATTACATATTTGGATGCTACGAATCTTTATGGGCACAGTATGTCGCAATGTTTACCAACCGGTGGATTTTCGTGGTTGACGGAAGAAGAAATTTTGAATTTTAACGTTATGGACATCCCTGACGAAGGGCCTTACGGTTACGCGTTAGAAGTAGATATAGAATATCCTAAAGTAATACACGACTCACACGCAGATTTACCATTTTTGGCAGAGAATATGGTTCCACCCGGTTCAAAATCAAAAATTCCTAAATTAATTCCAAATTTAAATAATAAATATAATTATATCATACATTTTAGGAGTTTAAAACAAGCCGTGAAAAACGGTTTGATAGTATCACAAATACATCGCATAATTAAATTTAATCAAAGTTCTTGGTTGAAAGTTTATATTGATCTTAACACCACAATGAGAAATGGCACTTCAAACAAATTCGAGAAGGATTTTTACAAGCTTATGAATAACGCCGTATACGGGAAAACAATGGAGAATGTGGACAATAGAAAGGATATCAAATTGATAACTCATTGGGAGAAAAATCGAAAATCTTTTGGGGCGAACACATTAATTGCACGACCAAATTTCAAATCATGTACCATCTTTTCCGAAGATTTTGTGGCAATACATATGGGGAAGTTAAAAGTTCATTATAATAAGCCTCTCTACCTCGGCTTCTCTATATTAGAACTATCCAAAACCGTATTATATGGTTTTTTCTATGATGTAATAAAAGATAATTTCGGTCGCAACGCTTCCTTACTCTATACAGATACCGATTCCTTGATTATTAAAATTTATACCGACAATTTTTATAATTTTATTAAATATAACATTGATCACTTCGACACATCCAATTATAAAGAAGGAAACAAGTTCGAGATTCCCGTGTCTGAATCCATATTGGGGAATATGAAAGATGAATTTCCATCAGATCCAATAATGGAATNTAATAATTATTAATAATCATTAATCATGCAGTCTTTTAATTAAATAAATAGTAAATAAGGAATTTAATCGAAGAAATCTTAAAAAAAACAAGCTTTAATTTAAAGATACAGAACCGTTCTTCCTATTAATTTATCACTTCAACATTAGGTATCTGCTTATAATAAAATTTCTACACAGACTTATAACTAGGTACAGGGTGATTCACTATATTTTGACCCCCCCCTTTAACTTTTTCGTTTTA